TGTTCATGGGCCACGTCTTTCACTTGCCATCAGATAAGCTGCATGCTCGTTTTCCTTCTCTTCTATATTAAAAAAAAACGAAGCAACATGGCTAAAAGGCAGAGAGCGTGTTACTATCACGGTATGTTCAAACAATGTCACGCTTGAAACTTGATAATAACACGCAATAATCGGCATCAATGCGTTTCGTTCAGCACCGCCTCTTCCTGGCCTCTCGTATTAATAAATGTCTTGCGTAGCTGTGATCTGATATGCCGACAACATACTTAATTTGCGAGGGTATTGTACTGTCTCATTATATTTCATGTATATAATTCGAGGCCATTTTAATATCGAACCAACAAGATGTCAATTCAATGGACAATAGTGTGTTTAATAAAGTTTTTGCAATTTTGTCTATTTAAAGAATGTTTGGAACGAATTTGTTTCATTATGATCATACATCTATACCCTTGGTATACATATAAATAAAATTGAAGTCTATATGCCGTGTAATGGCGGTTGAGAATATCCACTACCCCATATCATCCCGTGGATGTCGTAGGAGGCGACAGAGGGAAACAAATAGATGGACAGCAATGCCTTCCTAATAACAACTAAAATAAAAATGGAGATTGTAGACGTGCTTGCCTAGCATGACTACTATGGTAAATATCCCCCCTATGAAGCAATCTATGGGGTTGGCAGTGAATTTTAATAAGCTGTAACAGCTGGATTTATAGAAGATCTACCAGGAGCACATGACCCACTGAGAGTAGAAAATTTTACATTTAAAATTATATTCTTTGCCAAAACATGATCCAAGTAGCTCACTGCTCTATGGACTCTGCCTACCTATTTGGGGATAATAAGCATGACGTTATTTTATTTATAGAATGGCGTGAAATGACAAACGAGCACACAGTCCACCTGATGGTAAGTAGCTATGCTGTGGACTATAGACATATACATTTATCCTTAATTAGGAATCAAAATGCAGATGCGTTGTCAACCCCGAGGACTGAGATGGAATGTCTTGTTTCCAGTAAAAATGGTGTCCGGTTCTTTACACTCACCATACGAGATACAGCAGTATTCAGCTAATATTTTACAGTGATATTATGTCGAAGCATTTTCCTGTCCCGGTCGAGCCGACCCAACACGGGTCTACCACGTATAAAATATTTATAGTAGTAAATATAATTTTTCGACTATATCAATATCTTTAGCCAAACTTTCTCCAAATGGTTCATATCTCTCTGGACTCTGCCAACTCCCTCTGAAATTACAGAAGTGACTTGACTTGAAATTACAGTAGAAACTTGATCACAAACAAATGTAACGAAATAAATGTTTTATTCTTTGCAGATTCAACGTGGTTCAGAAGACAGCAGTGGCAGGCCACTCACATCGTTATAATGTGAACATTTAAACAATGTTGCTCAACATTTGCAAGTCATGCCAGTAGTGAGTACAATAACTCCCACAGTACCATCGTTTTTATCACCGGATTACACTAAAGCAATTGTAACTTGTGGGTGATGGGGTACGGAATCAAGAAGGCCGATGACGTCGATGAGATTTATAAGGAACTCTAGTAAAGCAAAATTAGACTGTTTTCCGAACGGAATACGATTCGAATTCGAAATTCGAACGGAAAACGATTGTGTAGTAGCGATGTTGAGCGAGTAATGCTGGTGTCAGAATATCTACTACCCCATATCATCCCGTGGGCGTCGTAAGAGGCGACAGAGGGGAACAAATCAGGAGATGGGCTGCAGCGTCTTTCTAGTAACAACTAAATAATAAAAAAATGCGATGGCTACCATGTCAGTCATGCGTGGCAACTGTGGCAGATTTTCTCCCTATGTGGCAATCTATGCATTACTCAACTTTTGGTAGCTTGTAATCGGGCCTCAATAAGAAAGTATTCTTGTAGGACACACGAAATACTTTTGTTAAAGATAGATAGAATTTGGCTCTAGTTCCAATCGCTCGAAAAAGGTAAAAAAAGTATTTCTGGCCAGAAACAATTACAAAGTTATTTATTGACAACTTATGAAATAGTTATGAAATCACGGTCTGTGACTCAGTTTTAACGGGAAACCCATTACTCCTGCTATTCTGCCAGAGCCTATACGCATTAATCATACTGGGGCTTAGGCAAGTGATGGAATAAACGTATTTTAAAATAAACAATAACTAAAAATACAAAACAACTTGTCAGAACTTGTTTTTTGAATTAGCCACTTGTAGCATTTTGCCGAAAGTGAAATATATATAGTAGGGTAGTGACATTAGTTTATTGTTTATTAATTTATTTAATCTTTATATCATACGTGTAAATACAAAAATAAATATACATATTATATATTATTTATTTATTCACTTTGTTTACATGCAGGGTATCTTAAACTATTACAGTACTCGTTTTTGTCAACATAGTAGTAATAAAATATGGTTGATCGGGCTATACTAGTTTTATGGTAAAAACTGTATTACCGACGCTAGCGCCTTCCACCGGACAATATAGGAAACAATTAGAGCAATGCCCTGCTTAGAACTGCATAATATAGAACCCGCTACAAATTATATACTCTATACCTGAATACAGATTAATGTTCTCCAGACCTAATATTGGTCTCATGATGGTCAGTCTTAACGGAGACTAGTTTCTTCCACAGGACAGGATTATATTGCTCAAGTGTATGCGCAAGCACAAGCGCACTCTCTATTCCCTCACTCTCACAGTCCGATGGCACGGTAATCCAACACGACCGGAGAGATCAGGCGCAGGGCCATCGGATTTACGTGCTCTTCGTGGTGGTGAAACACAGCTAACTTCCTGACTTCAGGCCTGCTACTGACAATTTCCTGCAAGGACCGATTTATGTCCGACTTGGTATTCGAATCTGGGTACTTGTGGCGACTGCGGTGTGTGAGGTGTGAAACACTTTTTCGTCTCCGCGGAGTAAATTTTTCTGAAAGGTGTATAGTCAAACACATAATAACGTGTTTTTTTTTAAATAGTACTAGAGTGACCACAAAATTTACAGTCCATTTTTTTTTATAAAATTTAAATGACAAATGCACTAAAAGCCCTCCCGAAATTGGCTACCGCAGTTAGTCACCTGGATTACAGGCAACCAACTTTAAACGAAGGAAGCTACAGATGTGACATCTCCTTTTATCTAAAACACAGTAAAGTTCAAAGCAAATATTTTTATGTTTATATTGAAAAAATAAATACACACAATAACAGCCCCTGAGCTACCACGGCTCCCAATCTAAATGGTAATTCTGTCATGTGTTGTTATTGAAGCAAATTATGCCGCAGCTACATTCTTTCATTATGTGCGAGCAGCTATGCAGGTTTAAGAAAAGAGACCAGTATCACTACGACTTAAAATATCTATTGTGATCGCTGCTGTGGCTATAGTTCACTGCTAAGCCCCATGTCTTCAACTATATTATAATTGTAACATGAATGGGTTGACTCGACTCAGGAAGAACCGCGCTCTCACGTAATACCAGCTTAATACTCATCTGTTTCGTATGGTGAGTGTAGAGAACCGGAGACCCTTTTTACTTGAAACGAGGTATTCCATTTTTGTCGTAAGGAGGAAAAGCATCTGTGTTTAGATTCTTAATCGAGGATAGATGTAGATGTCTATGGGCCATAGCGTCCATTTACAATCAGGTGAACTGTGTGCTCGTTTGTCACCCTCATTCTATAAAAAAGCCGGTATTCAGAGACAATTTCGAGTTTGTTATACTCTTTAAACTTTGATTTGCGCCTTGAGTTTCCATTTGCTTATTTTGAACTTTTTATGTCGAACTGCAAAATAAAATTAAAGAAATCAGCGCTATCCTCACTGTGTCTGCCAAAATTTAAGCCATTTAATTACATAACATAAACTACATCATTGTCAGGATTTCCAAACAAAAAACCCAGTTCGATCACGATAAGGGTTTTCAAACGTCGAGATAATGCAGCAAGATGTGAAAAAAATTCTTGATTTTATCAATTTAGTCTTTCGTTTTCTTATGTCATACCGTGCGAATTATTACTGTTACGATGAAATAATATTATTTAGTGGCTAAAATAATTTTTAACTAATTTTTAATAACGTAATATATATTAAATAGTTACTTGATTGATATTTAAAATTAATAGGAATTGTTTAAGTGCCAGTGTTTCAGAAATGTGCAATAAAGAAACATATTTTTTTAAACAAGTGAAATAGATTGCCAGTGATTTGTTTTAATTACAAGAAATATCATTTTATGAAAAAAAAACACAGACCACGTAGGCTACATTTATTTATTTAAATAAAAAAATCTTACAGATGCGATCAGCTTCTACGCTTTTGAAACTATGTAAGTAAAAGTGTAATAATTATATAATAATTCATGTACAAGTAGACGAACTTTTTATTTTTTTTTCACTGTCAACTTTATTACTATCAAGTGACACTACAGACCACTCCTCCTCACACAAGTAGAGAGTATTTCATGAAATCGTCATGCTTAACACATATACTATATTATATTAACTATATTATATCGCGCGTCTGACACTGTTATCGTCCATTCGACTGATGTAATAGCGGGGACGATCTCGAAAAAAGAACATATTCTTCACAACATATTTTATAAAGGAACATATATCTGACGTGAAACACCGACGCCCCGGGAAGTCTGTCGTCTGTGAAGATGTTTAACCCGGCGTGAGTGAGGTCGGGTATGTGATACCCGAGAAGTTTTTAAACGCAGATTATTTAATGTTACTGTTGCCATGCGAGTCCTGTCGTTTCAGTAGCTGGAGGTAAGGATGCGAGGGGCGGGGTACAGTATCGAGTTTAGTGTTGCGCCGGCGGCGACGGTAGATACACATGTGTACACGTGGCTGGGGACGTCACACCCGACCTCGTTGTCGTTATTACATTTTTGTGTTGACAGTAAGTTTTTGATTTATAGTTATTTATAGTATTTTATGATTTATTTTTAGATTTTTCAAGATGTCTTATGAAGGAAATGAACGTCGGCTACAAGAACTATTAGAAAACTGCTCAAGTGCTAGCTCCTGTGACTCCGAGAGCGAAGAAGAAATTGATAACGTTTCTCAGAGAAGTGAAGAAAGTGATTCCGAACAAGAGGGTATTTTGGATAATTTGGAAGAGCCGGAATCTGTGCCGGCGTCTAATAGTCAGTCGGCTGAGGTACGTGGAACTTCTTATACATCCAAAGATGGCACAAAATGGTCAAAAGATTGTCCTAGACAAAGCGTTCGAGTTCGATCTGAGAATATAATTACTAATGCAACAGGCGTCAAAGGTACTGCAAAACTTGCTAAAACTGAGATTGAAACTTGGAGTCGCTTTATAACAGACAGTATGTTGAATACCGTACTAACATGCACAAATATTCAAATAAAGGATAAAAGGGAACAACATCCAAAAAATAGAGAAGAAGAAGAAATGAGCAGTATCACATGAAAGATGTAACTTTGAAGGATTTGAAGGCATTTATAGGACTTTTGTATATAGCTGGCCTAAATCGCTCAAATAGACAAAACCTGAACGATTTGTGGCGTACAGATGGTACAGGAGTCGAAATCTTTCAGACTACAATGTCACTGCAGAGGCTTTACTTCCTTTAAAATTGTTTGAGATTCGATGATAAAAACACTTAGGACCAAAGAAAAAATAGTGACAATCTAGCTGCAATAAGGGACATTTTTGAAAGTTTTGTTGTAAATATTCAAAAACATTATGTGCCTTCCGAGAATCTTACTATTGATGAGATGTTGTTATCTTTCCGAGGGCGATGTCCTTTCCGCGTATACATTCCCAACAAACCAGCCAAATATGGGATAAAAATTCAAGCTCTTGTAGATGCGGAGAAGTTTTGCATTCTCAAACTGGAAATATACGCAGAAAAACAACCACCAGGACCTTACCAACTGAGTAACAAAGCGTTTGACATTGTGAGCCGTTTAGTGGAGCCAATAACAAAAACGAACAGGAACTTGACATTCGATAACTGGTTTACTAGTTATCCACTAATGATTCATCTCTTGAAACACCATGCATTAACTTCTGTCGGCACAGTCCGTAAAAACAAGGCAAGTGTACCTTTTTTTTTTTTTTGCGGATGGAAAATCATCTAATGACCCCTCTCACTCTGGGTGGAGCGTAAGGGAGTGTCAGACTTTTACTGACTAAAAACCATCCGTGTTCCTTCAGTGCCCTTACGTTCCGGAGCCGCGGTATCTCTTTCGAATAGCCCGCAGCCCCGGCAGGCATCGGCCCTTGCGGGCCCCATCACGCTGCTGACAGCTCTTTGAGGCGCGCGTGGAACAAAACGCGCCGTCGACACGGCCTGTCGTCGTTAGACGGACGGACGACGAGCTACCCATTGCTCGCCGTCCACAGGCCCGCGCCTACGGTGGCCGGGGGGCCACGACGTAGCCCCCGACGCCCGGGGCGTCTCCCGCGGCGGCCGGGGAGGAAAGCTGCTGCTCTTTCCTTCTCCCGCTCCGCCACCTCCTTCGCTAGCATCACTGCTTCGCAGAAGGTGGTGACGGCATCCCATTCCGTCTCGCTCCGGACCATGGCTTCGACCAGGGCCGGACGCGAGAGGTCGCCGCCGCCTATCGCCGCTACGAGGGCACGGCGGTGCTCCGCCCAAGCAGGGCACACCTCCACGGTGTGTTCCACCGTGTCCTCCGGTCCATCCTCGCAGTGGGAGCACCCGGGCGTTTCCTCCCGCCCGATTCGGTGCAGGAACCTCCCGAACACACCGTGTCCGGTGAGGACCTGAGTCAGGCGGAAGGTGAGGATGCCGTGGCGTCTCTCAAGCCACTCCTCAAAGAGGGGTCTTATCGCCGCTATAGTGGCGTGCCCAGCACGGGGTTGCGACAGTCGCTCTCTCCATGTCGCCATGAGATCGTGCCGGAAGTCTGTCCGCTGCGCGACAACTTGCCGCGGCAGCGGGGTTTCCCCCCGGCATAGTGCCTCCGCGCGCCATTCGTGCAGGCGTGCGAGGACTACCGCCTCCAGATCCCATGGCGGCAATCCGGCAAGGAGGCTCGCCGCCTCGCGGGAGATCGTGCGGTAGCCGCGAACCATTTTCACGGCGACCACCCTTTGGGGCGCGTTCAGGTGGTGGACGGCAAGCCGCGCCAAACCACGCGCTCACACCGGGGCCCCGTAAAGGGCCATGGATCGCACGATCCCCGCGTAGAGCCTCCGGCAGGAGGCGTTTGGCCCCCCAGGTTCGGCAGGAGTCGCCTGAAGGCAGCCCCGGTCCGTTCCAGTTTGGAAGCCAAACGTCGGAAGTGCTCAACGAAGTTCCATCGGCCGTCGAGGACGAGTCCTAGGTACTTCAGCGTCGACTCGACGCCGATGGATACCCCTCCTACCATTACCGAGGATCCCGGTGGTGGCCTGTTCCGAGGACCATGGAAGTGCATGGCCTCGGACTTGTGCAGAGCCACCTCGAGACCCAGTTGCCGAATCCTCTCAACGACTATCGCAACCCCGTGTGTCATAGTTTCCGCCGCCGCCTCGTACGACCCCCCCTTGTGCCAGTACCACCAGCGTGTCGTCAGCGTAGCAAATTACGCTGACGCCGGTAGGGAGGTCGGCGCGCAGCACCCAGTCATAACCGATGTTCCACAGAGGTGGCCCCAGAACCGAACCCCGTGGGACACCGCACGACATCTCTCGCCGGTTCCACTCACCGTTGCGACCGGGGTAGATGACGGCCCTGTCCGTCAGATAGTCCCCGACTATACGACGGAGATAGGTCGGCACCCGGTGATACCGGAGTGCCTCCCTAATGCAGCTCCAGGGTATGGAGTTGAAGGCGTTGGCGATGTCGAGAGACACCGCCAAGACAACCCCCCTCTGGCCACTGCATCCCCCGTCGTGAGGGCTTTCACGCGCATGATGGCTTCCACCGTAGAGCGCCTCTTGCGGAAACCAAACTGGTGTTCCGTACCTGAGATCTTCAAAAAAGGGAACAGAAGTCAATAGCTCTCGATTCGGGTACCAAAACGATATTACTTTGGTGTCCTATGTACCTAAAAAAATAAAGTTGTGCTGGTTATGTCAACTTTACACCATGACAAAAATATGGACGAATCGACAGGGGATAAAAGAAAACCGGAAATGATTACTTATTATAATAAAACTAAAGCCGGAGTCGATGTCGCAGATGAACTGAGTGCCACTTATGATGTTTCACGCAATAGCAAACGTTGGCCCATAACGATTTTTTATGGTATACTCAATATGGCTGCCATAAATGGTATGGTAATCTACAGAGAAAATAACACGACTGACAAAACACGCATGAAGTGCCGAGACTACATTCGTAATTTAGGTTAGAATCTAATAAATGATAGTCTTTGGAACAGGCAACAGAACGTACATCTTCCAAGGGAAACACAAAAGAGGATTGCCGATCATTTAGGGGAACCCTCACCACCATTTCCAAAACAAATGGCTGGTAAATATGTGAGATGTGGTGAGTGTACTCAGAAAAAGGACAGAAAAACAAAACATTGCTGTACAAAATGTGAGAAGCCAATATGTATGGAACACGCGATTTTTATGTGCGGAAATTGTGCTGATTTGTAGGTGTAACTTTGGTGCTCTGTTACATGATCTCACAAGACTTTTCAGTGCCTTTTTTATTTATAATAACTAGAAGACTCTATTGTTATGTTGATTGACTAATGTGAAGTGAAGTGAAATAATGAAGTGGGATTTTTTTTAGATTTTTATGCGAAAAGAAGTTAACTACCTTAACCTGTAATTTTTTAAAGAAAATTTGGATACTTTGTAATTTCAATAAAAAATAACGCTTTTTGTACTTAATGCTTGTATTTTATTTACTAATCTTGCTGAATGAGTACTATTATTAATATATCTTAAGCATAAATGCTAATTACATAATTATAGTATAAAAAATTGAACATCAAAATTTTGGGTATCTCCTACCTGCCTCATAGCTGCTGTAACAATTTCTCACTTCACGCCGGGTTAAGATCGTCCCCGCCATTATATCAGACTCGATAGTCCCCAAATCCTCGCAAAAGAACAATGATTCCTACCAAAGACAATTTGCGAGGCTTATTGAAATTGATAAAAAAAAATCCTAATTTCATTAGAGGCGATGGAACGGTGCTGCCATCTGCTTGAGATCCTATAGTTAATAAAATTAAATCTAAACCCAAAAATACCGCTGCAAGACCTAAAGATACGGTAGTTCTGCGTAAATCGGATCAAAAATTATATTCACAAATTGAAGGTAGCCGGGCTAACTATGATATCAGTGTGTCAAACACCTCAGCCTCCTAACTCCCGTGAGAATAGGTGCTGTAGAACACCTGAAACGTCGGGAATTAAAACAATTTAAATAAGTTAAATTAAACGCGGAAAATCCGTGAAATTACTTTTATTCAAAGGTGAACGTTCTTACGGCAGACGGATTGGCCGCCCATCAAGCAAGGCAACTATGTAAAGTATCCCCCAATGAGGCAATCTGTGGGTTATGCTTATATTCAGCGGTGGACTTTACCGCATGAAATTCTAATGGGGCCCACTAAGCACAGAAGCACGGCGTAAGTGTGACCGGATGTTGGCGTCATCGGCACGGGATACGATCATAAGATGACTACATTCTGATAAATGACGTGCCGAATAAGATAAGCTACTCAGCGCCAGAGAGATTTGTCGATCGTTTATCTTACGCTGAATACGTACGGATGTTTTTCGAAGATTCACGCAGCAGCTGCATTCCTGGAAAGCATCAGTTCCCCAAAGAATATAGTATGGAGAATGATGTGAACCGGAGATTCATTTTAACTGGTAGCGAGGCATTCCATTTAAGCCCTCATAGGTGACAATGCATCTGCATTTTGAGTCTGAATCGAGGGTAGATTTATATCGTCACTAATCTTTAAATGAGTTATATACTAGTTTGTGACTTTTATTGGTATAGAAAATGAAATAACTGTGTCCGAATGATTAGATTGTGTAGATTGACTTATAAAATAATGAGCTTCAAAAATAATTAATATGGGTAGGTGCTTCCATCTATTTAGGATTCTATAATTAATTAAATAAAATCCCAACTACAAACATACCGCTGCGAGACTTTAGATACTATAGGTTCTTTCCCCGTAGGTTGGATCAAAAATTAATAATTTAAAACCGAAGATAGCCGTGGTTAACCATGACATTGGGACGTCAAACACATCAGTCCCTTAATGACCATGGGTGCTGTAAATTACTCGAAACGTCTAGTGTATAAATAAGTTAATAAACGCGATAAGATCCGTAATAAATGGGCCTTACATACATTTGTCATTTTCCAAGTAACATCCGACTGTCGGTAATTATCAACCTGATGTTTGCTTGTGTATTCCTGACATGACGTGATTTAGTTAATTTTCTTGTTTTTTATGTGCCTGTGTATTATTATT